GTGTGTTTGTGTTTTTCTGTGTGCGTGCGTATGCGTATACGTGTGTGTGTGTGTGTGTGTGAATGTGTATGTGTATATGTATGTGTAGATTTATCTGCGTTTGTGTTTGGTACGCTCGCATGCGTACGCGTGTGTATGTGTGTGTGCGTGTGTATGTAGTGTTTGTGTTTGTGTACGCTCGCATGCGTACGCGTGTGTATGTGTGTGTGCGTGTGTATGTGTGTGTGTGTGTGTGTGTGTGTATGTGTGTGTGTATGTATGTGTGTGCGTGTGTGTGTACCATTTTATGTAGTGTATATATTCAGGTATTGACACGGCGAAATTCGTATGTGTAGAAACAGCTGTGTCGCAGTACTTACCGAGATGACAAAGTCCTTGGGAGCGGTATTGTGTCGCCTGAGTGCAAAGGGTATGTGGTCGATTGTGATTGCTGATGGTTTGATCGGCTCTGACAGTTGAATCGTTACATACCCATCGGAGCCATGGAAGGCCCAGCAATTGCCTGATGTGACGTCGACCTGGATTACACAGTTAAGCGCAGAATCGATGCAAATGATCTTGAATTGATCTATGGCATCTATGTCAGAGTTTGATTCTTCAGGTGCGAGATTTCGGCAGACTGGAAGGCGAAGTACAAACTTGCCTTGCAGAATGGTTAGATCACTACCGCTGAATCTACATATATAAAAAGCTACACCCGATTTAAAATGCTAGCTATGCTCAACCCGACACACCTTCAGGATTTCAGACGGGTCTTTTCCCTGGTGCATGTTGAAGAACCAGGTGAGTTTATTCATGCCATAGGATCTGAAACAAAAGAGATATAAAAATGCCAATTTCATGGTATTAGAAGAGGCCGATATGGAGAAGCACGTCAACACACAGTCACGCATGACGTGGCATCTGCTGTAGCTACATGACGATCTAATTCCGCCACTATAAATCAAACTAAATATTTGTACGTATCGAATATAGATAGATATCAGGTATCACAGTTGGCCATATTATTTGGAACATTATAGGATGTGAGAGTCCAAAAACATACAAATGACCTGATTGGGCGGCATCCACGAACTTGCAATAATGATATAAGTACCATCATAAACCAATACTTACCAATCAAATATACACAACGCAGCGAATAAATATTCACCGATTCGATCGTGAATCACAAACCCGACGAACTTACAGTGATGACAAGCGTCGCATAATGGAACCTCCAAGGTTCTCGAGCGCATAGTCTGGCAGGCCAAGCCGCTCAACGTCGTGTCGTTTGATGATTTCGCCAACTAGCAGACGATTTTCGTGGTTATATCGTAGTTAGCATGGACACGCTAGCTATTGTACCTTGTCATAGGCACATGTACATGAAAACTGCAATTACTCATATCTCTACCAGGCACCTCAATATCCAATCTAATCCGAACTATCGAGGCACTTTCAAAATCTAAATTCCCTCACATCGGAACAAATACAAACAATATTTAGACGGCCACCCTTCTAAATCTGTTGATATTTATTTGCGAAAATGTGAGCTAGCCTTGATATGGTATGCCAAATACATTGTGTGATATCTCGCTACAGTCAAAAAACGTTTTCCACATATTCTGAAGTGGCATCTTCCCCTCCGCATCTCGAAGGGGAACGGACGCGAACACCATTCTCCAAATTTGCGTATGAATGATCGTGTGGACATAATAAGTAAGTCACATGCGACCGAACAATGTCAGCATAAGATGTATTTGATAGCGATCAATACTGGTGATTTTCATTCTATCTCTATATTTTTGTCCGGTATATGACCGGTGCAACACCATGCACGCCGTACAAGCAACATTGTACAGCCCCTAATTGTCCCTGTAAATGTGGAGATACACACGAACCCAATTTCGAAAACGCGTCAGAATAAATCAAGAGCCAAGGTTGATAGATCAAAGACAAGGTATATAGATATACATAAGAATCACATAGCACATACCTATCTTTTCCACCGATGCTTCTGACGTTTTAGCGGCTGCCATCTGACCAACACAGAATGGAATGCAATGTGAATAGTCTGAGTGATTTAGACTGGAAGACCGGTGTTGAGATTATTTCCACTACAAAAGCGGTTAGGACTTGCAGTCAAACGAAATAGTTTATCGTCCACGCCAACCCACCAGACGAAAGCGGAATCAGCCGACAGCGATTTGCTAGAGGTATATGCACCGAAAATATTCAAATAAAAGATACCTGCTTTGCGATCGTCTACATATGCATACCTCATCGCGTAGTATACGCATATCCTTCTGCAGTGTCGCCACACCGTTCGCCAGCCCGGAAAGCTTCGTATCTATTTCTTCCTGGTCCTGAGTATGAAGAAAATATAAATTATCGCGCGCTATGCTTCCGTGGGAACGATTCACCTGAAATTCGATTGAATTTGATCGCTTTATATCTGCACGACATGTCAGATCTGTTGCCGATACATAACATATTGCATGCATCCCCCCCCCCCATTTGGGTGAATCTCGAGTGGGGCAACCACACAAGCCGGACGTGCCTAATATGTCTCAATAAACCAGTCTTGAACCAATGATACGCTGAAAACTCATGGGACATCAGTCAGGTGCGCACTGATTTGTTCAACAAATTTAAGTATTGTACGATTTTAGCCAGAAGTGCAGCACATTAATATTACTTTCGCTGAAGCGAGGACGCCCGACTGATTTAAGGACCGATCGACGGATTCCTCTAGTTTGGCAGATGTTGCTTGTAGCTCAGCCGATGTTTTTTGGAGTTTGGCAGAGGACTCTTGTAGCTCCTTGTTTCTCGCTTCCAGTTTCGCCATGCGAGCTTCAAGTGCTTCGAGATGGCGTAAATCTTCATTGTTTCTATTTTCACTGCGAGTATAACCGGCGGACATTTGGTTTAGAACACTGAAATTATTGCGAGAGCTGGAATAACTCGGACAAAAGCGCATCGTGTCGCTTTCTGAGAGCTTCGAAGGACAAGGTTTTCTCCTTAGATCAATTGTATCATTCTCGCTTTAAAAGGTCTGATACCGGACGAGACAGTATCGATAAGGCAAAGACTTGTCAGTAGAAAAAGGTACATGAAACCCGTAGAGAAAGGTGAATCGATATTATTACAGCGACTTGTGATTGCTGAGTTTTCATGGAATTATAAACCCACCGTGATTGCCACTTACTTTGAACTCTTCAACTCTTCAAATTGGTTCTGAATCGTGGATATTCTCTCCAATTTGGCGTGAAATCCAAACATTGACTCGTTAATAGTTTTGGCATGCCTATCAAGATCTGACTTAAAGGCTACGGTTGCATTTGATTTCTGTATAGTATGAGAGAACCAATTAAATGAACATCGTCACATACAACAAACGAAAGAAACGATCAAAACAATCGAGGGGCGGCTATGACTTGATGATACCATGACAATGGCCTGTATATACATACAAGCATTCACAGAGTGCCAGGGAATGCATGTAACTGCGCCTATAGGGCAACCCACACGTTTCATATATAACATATAGCGATACCTCCTGTTCGACAGTCTGCTGAAGTGACTCCAAGTGATCTTGCTGTGCTTTTAGCGCATTTTTGTTGGCCAGCGCCGCCGTTTTGACGGTCGAAATATCATTACTCAGGGCCTTCAGGCTTGGACTAATTGGAAACAAATCGCGATGAGGTTAAGTTGATGTTCGCGTTCATCATTATAAAAAGGTTTATTGGCACACATACGACTTGTAATAAATTTGCGATAAAGACATTTTGCTCTGAGAGCCCCAAGCGGCCATTGCAAGTCGGCTTTGTAATGTAAGGTAAAGACGTATACATAGCTGGACGACGAGTTGTATCAACCCTAACAGCCCCGGTGCAGATCCGGAAATGAGCATAAGAATTATACTACCGGCACTGTCTGTGCGCTGAGCAGTATGCGGCGTGGTTATTAAGTGAAAAATAAGCAAGTCAACACTCCATCATATGAGCAAGGGAGATGTGTACCAAACAAGAAACCAGTGTAGATTAAGCACACCTGGTGAACACTCCACCATACGATCAAGGGATATGTGTACACCCAACAGGAAACCAGTGTACATTAAGCACACCTGGCGAACACTCCACCATACGATCAAGGGAGATGTGTACACCCAACAGGAAACCAGTGTACATTAAGCACACCTGGTGTATACTTCACCATACGATCAAGGGAGATGTGAACACCCAACAGGAAACCAGTGTACATTAAGCACGCCTGGTGAATACTCCACCATACGATCAAGGGAGATGTGTACACCCAACAGAGATGGTCATACGATTGCACAGAACTTTCGACGACATACCTTGCAACCTGATCTTTGTACTCATCAAACAGCTTGGCTGTATGTTGCGCAACCCATTGATGTACGTCAGCTTCACTTGCACCTCGTGAGACGGTTGGCACTACGGAGGGCTGTGACAGACCTGTAGTTTCTTCTGCCGGTGAGATGGCGTGGCCCTGAAAAACAAGAAACATTTCTGCAGATTAGTACGAAGCGCCCAAGTAGAATGATCGTAACCAATGCAAAACTTCGAATGAGACGAATAAGCGGGTGTACTGTCTATGGTTATGTTCGTCCTCCCTACGTGTGTAGATCGAGATGACTCCTAAATTCAGCCACTTCTATAACTTTTCTGATAAGGACCTAGAAATGAGGTACAACTGACGCAAGATATATTCAACTCTCGATTCGACAGCTGAGCAGATACCTTTTTTTAAGTACCTATTCAAAACAGGGTATACTTTTCATCTTTACAAGTTAGTCTAACAAACGGTCGCATAGCGTGCATCTCGAATTAGACACTCGCATACTCACCTTGGAACTACTGACTGTATCTTGCCCGCCCGGGGACACGGCCCGTTCTCCGCCAATGACACTGGCATGTAACTGCGCCGCCATCTCACCCGTTTTCTTGATCACGTCCTCGTTGTTGTATATAGCACTCGCCAGAGCTAAAGTCATGCACAGCTTCATCAGCATATCGAGCAACGGTGTATTCCATACATTTGTCAGCCAATTTAATCTGACCGCCGGTGTCCTATTACCTTCACCGCGTGTGTTTCCCCTCCCTACCTGCTGGATGCGACTGGGCGTCATTGATCTTCGTTCCCGTTCTCGCCTGGGTGGGTTCGGTGCCGTGGTTGTGTGTATCTGTGTGCGTGCGGCTGGTGCTTTCGGGGCGATTCCCACCAGGCTGTATATCGAATGGAGCCAGCCTTTCGCGAGTATCGTCACATCCGCTTTACCCAGCCTGTGTTGTGCACGTGCTACCCAAGACAGTTCCTCCTCATCCCCATCGCCATCCGAACCTCCAGGCGGTGTTGGGTTCTTCTGTGCCTTTGCATGAATTATATGAGTCCCGGGTTTGTGCACACTCGCCACTGGTTGTGTGCGTGTGTATAGACCCGAAGGTGCCATCGAGCCCTCCCTCTGTCTACCGCTCTTACCAAGCCGGTCTATGAATTCGTCACTGTGACCGCTAGTAGGTCGCATAGCAACCCCGTCCCCATTTTGCGCTCCCCGGAAAATGTGCCTGTCGGTGTCGGCCAATTGCGCCGTGCCGAGGAGTTGCTTCCCCTGATTCGAGCCACCAAATGCATTCCCACTTGTCCCCGTCAGTTTATTGCGATTTGCATTCCCAAGCATGTGCATAGAACCCGAATCCAGACCCGCACGTGCTCCCTTCGCAGGTAAATCTCTATGACTTTCTCCAAACACCATTCGCGTGGGCTGCACACCAGTATATCCGGTGCTAGTGCTCAAACCGCGATAGAGATTCGGACCGTTCGCGTGTCCGCCTCTACCGTTCTCTTGAGCCCCCCCTGCCGCATTGGAACTGACAATGGGCGATATGCCAGGTATGTTTGGACTATTCTTCGCTGCAGAAGGGATCAGGTGGGAAAAGATATCCATGAGCCATCGATGCATGCAAAGCTACAATTTGGAAGGACTGCACTTGTGCCCATGTGCCAGCAAAAA